CACATACACACCGCTTGGTGTGAAGAAATCCAAAGCACAGTTGCGATGATATTTAACTATATTTGACAGTCACTGTTTTAATCGAGGGGTTGACGCAATGATACATTTATAATGGAATTATAATTCATTCAATTAAGTATTAAGATCTAATTTCAGCAGTAACTACCTAACAATGTCTTATGAGGGAGGTATTGCTTTTGATACAGTATCGTTCTCTGTCTTTTCTCTGTGTGTCCCACACAGACATTTTACTCTGTGGGAACACAGCCTGTTCAAAGTGACAGATGCTGCCGCCTGTGCCCTGCCTCTGGCTGTTGATACCGTATCTTCAGGACCAAAGAAAGTGCCAGCAACTGCTTCGAATACTAAGAAAACTCAGATGATTGAACGCACCCTCTGTTGTTCTGCTCATACATTTTATGCACAGTGAAGTTCTCAGCTTTTCCAGGCTTTAGCGCTGGCACCATATGTTGAACACACATCGTTACCATGCAATGTGATGCGTTTTTGATACCCTCTGTGATCTTCATCATGCATCCGGGAGAGGGATTGAAATTCTTGAATAATAAGAAGTCTGCTGTAGAGTAAGACATTATACATGCATTTATCAAATGCTTTTACAGGTGCTCAAAGAAACTTTGCAGTTATAATAAAGAAAATATAAAAATCAAGCTAATATAATTATATTTGACAAAATGACACAAAATTAATCGCAAGTTAAAAACCAGTCTGTAAAGTTGTGTTTTGGTCAGTGTTTTGAAGGTGGGGAGATCGGTGCAGTTTCTGATGTGATGATGGACGAGGCTCTGTCCCCACCCAGGTTTGGTGCTTGGGCAGGTTGTTGAGTGCAAAAGTAGGAGGAATAAAATATTCAATGAAATATAATAACGTAGCACCTCTTATTGAGTAACATGTTGAGTTGTATTCTCTGTTTATGTGTTTCTTCAAATGCCAGTAAGTATCATGTTATAGACAGAAGAGTCACTCGTGAAAAAATACAAAGAAAATGTCAAGATTATGTGGAAATATGTATTCAGACACAAATCCAATCCACTTTTTACCTAAAAACTAAAATAAATTGGTAGCCATATATAGAAAATAAATTGAAATAATTAGCACATTGTAAATGCAGTGTGTAGCTGTTTCTGAAATAACTACTGTGATCTCCTTCCTTTTTTAAAGATTACACTAGAGTTTGATTTCTGAATTCGTTAGATATCTGGAAGTCATTGGAGCTTTTTCTCAGAGGCTTTCTAAATGTCTTGGACATGTTCTGTTGAGATTGTGATGCTTTGTATTCTGAAAGACTTTTCTGCCATCAGGAGAGACACGCATCATCAGATTAAAGTTAATCATTATGCAAACTGTGATTACGGTCTACAATTGCATGTATTGAATAGTTAGTGCTCCAGGAAATTGTCCCGGAGATTGTGTCCCACTGTTCAGTAGAATCACGCTTTCCATAGAGCTGAGAAAATGAGAAAAAATGTTTCACTCATTAACAAGAATAAATGTATGTATTTAAATACAGCTCAAACAATTATGGATTGTTTGAGCTGTCAGACTAAATATAAATGAATACCAATATATTGTAAATATTCTACTATAGGTCAAAAACAAAATGTGTCAGCCCATAATCTCATACTATTACACAAATAAAATGTAACAGATTTTTTCAAAAATAAACTATAAAATGTCATGCTCTGAAAATATATTTATTGTTTCTGTATATAGCTTTCACTTTGATAGCAGCATCAAGTTTTCTCTTAATTTAACATAACTTAATTTGTATAGTCCTTTAATAAAAACTCATAAAGAGATTGAACATAACTCGAGAGGTAGAATGAGTAGAATGTTTCCTTTATCACCTGATACTTTTGTCTCCCAGGAGTATTTGCATAAGAGGGGAGAGCTGGAGAGGAAAGGAAAAAGTGTCTGGAGTGCGCTGTTTTTACAGCATTAAGTGCTGTGTGCTCATACGTAATGGACCTTTCTGTTGCCATGACAAAATAAAGGAGTGAGGGAAACATTTCACAGATTTAAATCCTAACTAAAAATACATTTAGTTTTTTAGGGCTATCATTTAGCCAGCTCTCTGCTGAAGAATAAAACATGTATACAAAATAGCATTGCGCAGGCTATTGTAACTTTCAAAAGATAACTAAGTATCTTGTCAAGTGGGTAGAGTATTTCACTACTTATGTTGCTGCAGGTCTCAGCAGAGCCAACAGTTGGAGAGCTTTCACTGATGCTCTCTGCAGGACTTTTATATGCTTCTCTTCGTACCTTTCCATATGTCACTCCTACACTGACAGTCCTTCCTAAAGGTCCCATTCACTTCTCATCATTGCCTGTGTGTATGATATCACCACAGCTGCATTTATTATCACTTTCTTTAAAAAAATTTCCCAGATCCTTTTCATCTCTGTATTCTGGACACACTCGTTTTAGTTCACCATTGTCCTTCTTTTCTTCGTTTTCCTCTAATCTTCTTGGCCCCTGTACGGCTCCATCCCTGTAGTACGTCTCTTCCTCACAAATGAGGCCACTGCCTGGCCAAAAGCAGTGGTGCATCAAAGGCACAAATCCTGAGGGCCCGGACACCAAATCCCTCTCCACCCATACTCTATTCTCCACCCTTCTCCTCAAAATGTCCCCTTTGTCCTGAGCGGGAAGAAAGTCAATTTCAGATCCATCACTGACTTCTCCCTTTGCTAACCTGGTCTACATATTTTCTTTCTCTCTGAAAGAGAATTATTCTGTGGATGAGAGGTAGATTATTACCTATACATAGATCAGACAGATTCTTATGACACTTTATTTACGATGTTTATTCGAAATGTTTGAGCTTTTTATTCCTTGAACTGTTCATACTGTAACGACTGAATGAACACAAGTGGAGGACTCAATAGCACGACTCAGAGACAGAGGCTTAGGATGCAAAAAAAGGGAGGGGTAGACAGGGACCGGGTCAGGACACAAAGCTGGGTCAGGTACACGTGGAATCAGATACTAGGAAAAATACTGCTGGAACGCTAGGAATAACTAAGACGAACTGGCACTGAAGGGAATCTGGATGCAGACTAAGTAGGCAGAGGGAGAGATGATAATGGGGCACAGGTGAGGCTAATTAGGGATGGGAAGCAGGTGGAGTTCAATCAAGGGCAGGAAAGCTGAGACTGAAATGAGAGAAACCACAATGAAAACAAGAAAAAAAACATCAACATGCTGGCTAGGCCCTTACACCTACAATACAATCAATAAGAATTATAGAGGAATATATTTGTTCTCTTCAACCAAAAATGATGTGGATATTTAATATGCACGTGTATATTGTATATTGTATCTTTATCTGTGGTTTAGTTTGTCACACTGAGATGTATTGTTTTACGTTGTTGCAGCAACAGTTTTTCTTGAAAACTGATTGAGTACATTGAAACATACAAAAGCTACAAGGGCTTATACTAAATAGACCAAAAAGGACAGAAGGTCTACATTTCCTACAAAATAGCTACTTCTCTTTTTCTTTACAGACAGAAATGCCCACGTTCAGCACTCTCATTCCTGTCATATATTTTAAATATGCTCATATAAAGTCAATTCAATCAGTGAGCCTGAAAGAGAGGAATGATTGAGATGAAGGGAGTGGATTAGGTGGGTGTGAGAATGCTGTGTGAGATTGTAAATTTACATTAAATCAATGAACATCTATGGTTTATGTGCATAATACTTCCCACTACAGTATATTCACTTTAATATAATTAGAATGGTTAACACTGTATAAATAAACTGACTGTACTAATTTTACACTGCATGGTGATATAACTTTAACGTCATGTTTGAATTTTTTATTCTTACTATATTTACTTGAGTCTAATGTTGATTTCATTTTAAATTTAAGGACAATAATATTTGTATTTTATTGTATCTTGTAAACATTTTGACTTGTGTAATGCTTCACACGGCAGCTGGAACCAAATCATTTCCTAATTTTGGGATAAATAAAGTATACATTATATCTATCTAGAAGTTCATTTGACAAAAGAGCAAAGCTAAAATAGAGATATAAAATATTTGTATTTATATATGTAATGCCTGTATCTAGCTTTATATAGAGTATTGTAAATATATAATTGTGTATGGATTTATAACTTGTAATAATTTGAAGATCTTACAATCCTTTTCTATAGTTCTCAGGTTGAATTTTAAAGTAGCGCTGTACATTAAGGAAATAAAAGGTTTCTGAAGAAGAACACACGCCATCCATTTTGAAATGTAGTCATAGTTTAATCCATTTAATAACTTGATTCATTTTTCCATTCGTTATTTTGTGTTTCTTGGTGTATTTAACTATGAATCTTTAACAGCTTATAGAGAAAGTTGCATTTAGGAGCATCACTAAACTTATCCATTTAGCTTGAGCATCCAACGTGTTCCCTCACACACATCCTGCATGTTGAGTCGGATAATAAGTGATGGAAAATGTAGTGCTTCTGACTGTTACTGGAAGCCAAACCAAAGAAAATGATGTTCTCTGTGTGGGTGGTATTACAGTATGTGTGTGGGATTGAGGTGCTTTGACAGTTCCTAATTGGTACAGGCACACTTGTTCAGCTCGTTGTCGATGTTACAGCATTATGTAACATTCTTGACAGTTGAGCTCCAGAGAAAAAAGGGAAAGAAAGCTAGATAACTGCAGGTGCATAACGGATGACACCCAAAAACGGCCCATTGAAGTGTGCAAAAGCTTTCATCTCACAATTAGCAACGGTTTGTTGAGTCAATACCATCGCTCAGAATTTCTCATTTCTGTATTTATTTGGCTACCAACACTTTGTACCAGCGTGTCACAGTTTTTCTCTCGCTTTAGTGTGATGAAGCGGTGAAATGTTGACGCTGAGCTCCCTGAGAAATATAATTCTTGAGGATGTGTCTCTGTCATTTTAGGGGTGTCTTAAGCCAATCCTTTCCCCTAAACGTATGTCCTTTTATTCTCTCTTGCAGCTCTATTTACAGAGGTGCCACACGACATCACGACGCAGAGCGGGGAGGATGTAGAGATGGCTTGTTCCTTCCGTGGGATGGGCTCTCCCTCCTACTCCCTGGAGATCCAGTGGTGGTACATCAAGGACCGGAGAGACTGGAAACAGAAGCCTGCGAAGATCACAAACGATGTAAGCTGCGAGGGGAAACAGATACATACATATTTAAGTCAAGGTTTAAAAAACTGTGATCTTTACTACTCTTAAAAAACAGCAATTACCCTAGTTTTTAACGCATTAAAACAATGTGTTTCAATTAATAAAGCAACCTCTTAAGCCCCGAGGACCCGGTTCCGGAACCTTAATATTTAATAAACTATGAATATTTTATATCCATATAACAGGAAAAAAATAATTTAACTGATCTTTTTTTTTTTTTTTAAACACACAATGCTAACACTGACCCTCTGAATTAGCCCCGAGCGAAAAATGCAATGGCATTAAAACGATAAAAACGATGCTGTAGTTAATCCATAGGTTAATATCCAATGTGGCTGTGTCCCCTTTGAAATGTTCTGATAATCTATAAGCAATAAAACTGCAATTCCGTTATCTGCTGTCCGCTCTGTGCTCCGTGCGCTCTGGGTCCTGCAATTCCTGCTTCCATACGGTAGTAAACAATAAGTAAAGTCTGCTGCGTAAAGTGCTTACGCCGGCTGGCATCCTTCTTACTTTACGCAGGACCATATCTCTGGAACCCATTGGTCTTTGGGTGATTTACACCTTTTTCTTAAGGATGTATCCAATAGAATCGATGAGCAGTTCCCAAATCCACGTAAACATTACCATTGCGGACGTAATAGAGAAGCAAACGAAGCACATCTGAAAGTACAAGCCTGGACGGCAACACTTTATACCCAGTATATTGCCATAAATATGATGGTGGATTATCAGTAAAAATGTCTATGTGACACAAAGACATTGGATTAACCTTGAGCGGCGTTTTTATTCCGGTGAACACAACTTTTGATCACAAATCAAAAAAGGTAAGACGTAATTATTGTAATATNNNAAGTGGCGCTAGGTAGCCCACAAGGCTAACATGGCTTACCTTCGTCTTTGTCTGGTCTAAACTGGTCTTCAATGGCATTAAAACGATAACAACGATGCTGTAGTTAATCCATAGGTTAATATCCAATGTGACTGTGTCCCCTTTGAAATGTTCTGATAATCTATAAGCAATAAAACTGCAATTTCGTTTTCAAATATCAGAGCAGGCTATTCCTACGCTCTGTAGCAAGATTGAATGCGCAAATATGCCACCTTTTTTTTTAACATGAGTGTGTGCGGGACGATTTCCCTTCGATTCTATTGGCTCTAACGGCCAGAAAGAGATGTCACATGTCAAAATCGAAGAAGGGGGGCCAGAGATAAGGAAAATCCACCCAAATGACTCCAGAAGAGGTTTTTTTTTGCTAAATCTGTCTAAAAAGGTCAAATATCACTTGTTTAGCATTAATCTTGATAAAGGGTACTTATTATATGTTGTACTTTGGATTCCTAAAGCTTTTAGTCTACTAACCCATCATCCAAGGTTAGTTTTCTATAAGTATAAAGAATTTTTTGGACGGACACTATAATTTACAGTTTCAATCTGAATTTTCTTTAAAATAAAAAACATCTATATTGATTCTGACTTTTCTACATCCAACTCACAGGTTTATCATTACTTTGAGAAAAAATATTATTAATTTAACCCTTTTAGAAGGGAAGATATGGTCATTTGTCATTTACCTGAAACCTGAAAAACAGGCTTCGGGCTTAACGATTGGCCACCATACAAAATAGTAAGCTAAAATAAATGAAAAAAATGTATGAAAATTGTTAGCTAAATATAATAAATAAACATTTAAAATATTTTAGCTTCTGTCATTTGGATTACAGTACACTGTTGTATATACATATATATTCAAATTTCTTTATTAGGATAAACCCCTTGAGGTGAATCACCTCGTTTTCAAGGGGGTCCCAAGAAAACAAATAACAAACAAGTACAACATACAAACAACATTCACACACATACATCGGAAGAAATAACCAAGAAATTACAAACATTCAGCCTAAGCATACAGCACATGGTAATACATCAAAAAAAGATGGCAAGAATTCTAGTAAAACAAAAATAACATCTTTAATTTTGTCTACACATTATTATGATATATACTTACATAAAACATTAAATGTACATGTTATGTATTATGCTGTTGTACTTTACTCATCCCATTTTTTGGTTATCCAAATGTGAACCTTTTTTTATTTTACCTGAAAATTAGTGTAAACATTTAGTTTTGGTTTTCCAATTTCACAGTTCCCTTTTTCGGATTTAAACTTAGACAGACTGCACACTAAGCTTACTGTATATCAGGCAGAGAGAAATTCAATAATAGCCATAGCGGTGGAAGAATACCTCTTGCACGGAAACAAAGGCATAATTACTGATTAGCATTTGCCAGCACCAGGGGGACAGGTTGACTCTCCCACCATGGGGAAACTGAGGCTTCCCTGTTGTGCTTCAAGACACTATAATTGGCACTGAGAAAGAAATATATTTTCCAAATCTCAGTCTGCTGCATGCATTATTCATACCTATGCCCAGAAGAATACCTCTGTGCCTCTGCATACACATTCACACACACTCTCCTGCTCAGAGGCTTACGTGCTCAGTGCTGTCTGTTCCTAAACACACACATTTACAAGCACTTATAAGCATGCGTACCTACACACATAAATACATACATCTCAACTAGCAGGAAAAATAATGGTAACTACAAGGAAGCTTTAAGGAAAGGCTGTTGAAAACATCAAAACATGTTTTCCTCTGCAATGTTTTGCTGTTGTAAGTCGATGAAATGAGTCATTTTTAGCATGAAAGGTTTTTAGAGATGTGCGGCCCTCTGTTGCTAACGCTTCATCCATACTTCTGTGCAGGTTGTACCGCTGGAAGAAAATTCCAAAGATGCCACCAAAATAAGTGTAAGTTTGCATAAACTGTCAGCAAGCATAAAGCACAAATATTATTATTGTTCAAATAATGAATAAAAACAACATCCAAGATTTTGTAAGATATCTTTATATTATAACTGTATAGGTGACTCTGTAAAGCTTAAATTAATACTTCATCCCCTAAATGATATATCAGCTCGCCCCAAAAAACTTGTCACCCCGCATTGTGAACATAAAATCAAAAACAGAGAACATGTTTGTTCAATAATACATAAAAAAAAGTCTATTATGAACTCTCACACAACGTGTGCAGTATACTGTAATGATTCTTATTTGTGTTATTTTACATCCACAACCCTGCGTTTTTGCTCCAACCTTACTTTCATCAACAGTTTCACACTCGGTCTACTTATTTATGCAAGCACTGTTTTAGTAGTGTTATAAAAAGTAAGGTTTTAGTGAAAATCCATGTGTTTTGTCAGTACTGAATGACTGGATAAATTCAATTTGGATTACACTGCACAAGTTTTGTGGGTGTTTTGATATGCTAGTACACATTACATTCAGTTCATCAAGACTTTTCTCTGAGTCTGGATTCTGTGGATTCTTCAAGAAATCAAGGTACAGTAACACTGTGAAAGTAATTAGTAAACGTAATTTTGGGGGTGAAGTATTATTGTTACCATAATTAAAGTGTTTAGATTAGAAATACATGTTATACTGTGTGTTTACCATATGGCTTCAAATAAGAATACATCATATTGTGTCCCCATTAGGTGGTAAAAGTGGCCGGCAGCAACATCTCCCATAAGCTCCGTCTCTCCAGTGTCAAGCCGTCAGACGAGGGCACGTACGAGTGTCGAGTCATCGACTTCAGCGACCCTGTGGCGCAGCAACACCGTGTTCGCGCCTTCCTCCGTGTGGAGCCTGGGAGCAGTCAGGGGTCTGAAGAGGTCAAGAGGCAGAAGAACGGGCAGAGGTCACATGGGAGCCAGCCGCACCCCCACCACCAGACAGAGGGCAGGGAACTGAAGAGGAGATCAGCTGACAGCCCCACTGACTGCAGTGAGAGCTGTGGGCTGTAGAGGGTCTGCATGTTCATGACTTATCTCTACAGAGGGACTGTCACCAAAACACCCGTCATCACACACTGGACCTTTGGGTTTCAGCGTTTGTTTGTCCATCTTTAATGTATGTGTTGCAGATTGCCAATGCTGTTGAATGCCAATAGAGGGCACCATTTGATTTAGTGTACATATAAATGTGTTCTTTTCTTTGCTTTGTTATTTTCTCAGTTTTTTTTCTCTTGCATTAGGTTTGAGTTATAGTGAAAGTAAGGCTGTAATTACAGAACATTTGTTTTTGTTATTTTGTATTTTTCGACTCACTCAACTGTAGTTTTCCTCACAACCCAAAACTGCAATGGAGAGTCAGAATGATTATGTCATAAAAATAAAAAGGGGATACAGGCACAAAACAGATAATCTCCCCATTCTACTTCTTTCACCAAAACATATGCCAAAGGTTGCAGTATTTTAATGCTAATGCTTTCTAAGAAATAAATAATATATCAAGCTTTCTTTCATTTATCTGAAAACATTTCAAAGTGCTTTGTTTTATTCATGTAATCTTTGTTAAAGCAGTATCTGTATTAAGCTTTCTAAACCATAACTATAATGTTTGTCAAAAATAAAAATGTATGCCTTCATCACATCAAATAATGTATAATGTGTTTGTTCTACTGTTAGTGCTGCTGTTTGGTATTTGTTCTGTTAAATACATTCATTTGAAATTACTTGTTGTTCTTAGTATTAGAGCCAGTATTTTGTTTTACAAAAAGGGCCACCTAATTGTGATCTGTAGTCAAGACTGTATAAAGGACTACAATTCCCCCAGCGCCAGCCTCTAAATAGACAGATATGGGCCACCTGTGTTCAGACGTCGTCGAGGCAAAGTTTTTAATCGTTAAAGTTATACAAGCCAATGCAAAGAAAGAAAGAAAGAAAGAAGGACCACCTAAGTTGTTCATTATTTTTATTTGAGTTTTGCCTCTTGTTTGATTTGTTTTGACTATTTTAAAGGCCTGTTTTCTTTGTTGAATGTGTGAAAAGTTTATTTTAACGCATAGCAAAATATCAACACACACCAACGAAGGCCAAGCAAGTTATCCAACTGTGAGTAAAACGCGTTAGAGCTGTCTGTTTAAGGCTTTTAGTTTGGATTTTGGATATTTGATAAACATTCACTCAAGTCGACTTACTGAGTTTCACAGACTGAGCGCTGAAACTCAGTAATACTCTTAATTTACCAGGATCCTTCTTGCTGATATTCAGTCTCTTACTTTGTTACTATTATACTGCACTGCAGTGCACATCATAGATGTTTCTAAGAGAGTGGGTGAGCCTTGTTCTCTGTAGAGGAAATATGTGCTTCGGCCGCACAAACTAACCAGTCGGTTGACCTTTATGTGTCCTGAATTTTAACTGCAGTACCTGCCAAACATAGACCAAAGAGGTAATTACTTGTATTCACTGAAGAAAGCTAAAACGATGTTTATTTGGTGTTTTATATTGTACTTTTTACTTCACTACACATCCTGTTAAAATAGTATTTTTCTTTTGGCAGCCAGCAGCATGCCGCACAAAAATAAGCTCTCTGGCCTTTTTTTAAACCATTGCATTTACTGTTTGTGACCAGGAGAGAGCAGCACTTTCTCTAACATTGGGGAAATGAATAACACACGCATATTGCATGCCCACACACATGCCCATATGAATGGTAGAAGTAAATGTCTTGTAAAAGTTGGTGTGTTGTTATAGTCTAAAGGAAGAACAGTGGAAACGGTTATATTACTGCAGCTTACTGTACCATGCAGAAGACAGATCACCTAAAGCATCCACAGGTCTACATTTTATAGACAGACATTTGTTTTTAATTACTACAGGATGTCAGTACTATACCCATATGGTGAAAGGAGAAGCTCAAAAAACGATAAACACATTGCTTTGATGCAAGGGTGCAACAACTCTTTTAATTGTAGCAATGAAAAGGTATAAAAATAAAACATAGTACTAAAGTGACTAGCTATTAATTCAGATCACAGTATATATTCTGTCAACATTTTAGCATGCACAGATTGAATAAGCCTTAATGAGCATAAAGCGTTGTCACTAAAATAAACAAATATACATTAAGCATTTTGGACTAAACAGTGAGATTATAAAGTATTTGAGTGGAAAAGCTTTTTGTTTTCAAACTGTGCAAAAAAGGGCGCATTTGCATATCTTTAGATAAAAGGCTTGTAGTAACTGTTGACAAAAGAGTGCCGGCCCGGCCATCTCATGGACTGTAAAGGCTTTATTTTTTCCCGATAATGACATTCCTGTAGCCCTTGACGTGACACAGTTTGTTGCTGTCGAAATCGACCACCAGCTTTCTCATACCAGAGTGGGTGGGAGTGAAGTATATTTTCACCTTGGCATCCTCCCCAGGTCCCACTGAAGAGCCAAGCCTGTAGGGTAAATATTTAGACAGTAAGATTGTGACACGTACACTAGAGAGAGACATTTTTCTTGTCTTCTGATTGAATAAATGTTTAGACGATCAATTACCACTGACTATCGACTCATGTCAGTTTACACTATGTATGGAGATGATGGGAAGGGTGCTGTAGTTTAGGAACTTAGCAATGCATACAGTAAATGACTAAAGGTCATTTAAAAACTTGAACAATAAGGCCTCCTCACTAGTATATTATAGCATTCTTAAACTTGTCTCGACCCCACTAAGCCTCTGCTTCTTTCTTTAGCAGTGGGCTCCTGTCCTGTCTAAACAGAGGCACATCCAGCCACACATCTGGAGGCTGCACCAAGAGCGGGGGAACAAGTCATAAAACAAAATAACACATATCTCAGAGTTTGGAAGTCGAATGGGAAAAACAAATGTCCACGACAGACACATATGATTTGAAAAGGTCAAAAGTTGGTCAATGTGTTGTCATAGCAAAAGAGGCAGAATGAGTCTGGTTGCTCTGCGTCCTGTCACTGAATTGAAATGTTTATCATATTTCATTCTTGGGGAATCTTTTTTTTTATAATTGACTGTGTGCATGTTGGTGTCTGCAGAGTGGAAGGTCAGTTACATCTGCTCATTTATGACAGGTCAGTGGTTGGTTTTAATAAGTAAAGAAAATGATTTCAATCAGAAGGAACTCATACAACCTCTCAGAGAGGACTTGTCCCGAAGTCAGGTTGGACCCTTCGATGCTGAAGCAGCAGTTCTCCAGCGCCTCTGGAAGAGGGTTTTTGAGGGTGATCTCTGCAGCCAGCTTCCTTCCTTCCTTCGGTTCACCCAGGATCTGCAGAGCACAAGAACTTAGTGAGTGAAAGTCTCACTATATGTTGAAAACTATTTTACTTTACTTTACCTAATTGGGTAAAGCGTGGTTTATACATACTTGGGAACATGTGTTGTTGATACAATACTCTAATCCTATATTTACGTCCTAGTGATTAACTGGCCTGCTTTTGTTTCACTTTTCTAATACATTTTCAGGGTTTGTTTTGACTTTGGACATTACTGTATATATGTACTTTTTTGGCATTGTTATTTAAAAGTTGTCCACAATATATAGCTCCAGTTGCAGGTCTTATATACTCACTCTGACTTTGATTTCAGGATTCTCCAGCACAATGTTCCTCACAGCCAGCATTGCCTGACTGTTGGAGAAGTCTATCAACAGAACTGCCAGGCGGATCAAGTTGTCCTCAGTGAGTTGCTCACCGTACTTAGAGTAGTTCAGTCTTAGTGGGACGCGCCTCTCTAGAAGAAAACACACAATCTATTGAATACTCGCAGTGCAAAGTCAAGTGTATAGAGCATTCACGTGAAAAACACTACCTCACCTGCTCCTGGGGAGAGCTCAACATTAAGCAGATCTTTAAAACCACAATTATTTCCCATATGTCCGCTGTAGGACACAGCACAGGATCCAAACACCAGTCGGCACTTCTTGTCGCTTTGCGTGTTGTTTGTGACCACGGCGAACACGTCAAAGTCGCAGCCCTTTCTCATGTCTGATGTGACTTTGATGGCGATGTGTAGGCCTTCATTTTGCTGCTGTTGGAGCAGCTTGTTCTGGTGGTTAGCCTTCTTGAAAGCCTCCCGCTCTTCATCAGAACCTGGAAATATGGAAGTCACAAATCAAACACTGAAAGAAAGAAGTCCCACATTTGTTTTAGCCGTTCAAAAAAGGTAATTTTCTATGTTTTTAACTTGTTAAATTGTCCCGTTATATAAACAACCTTAAATGTGACCTTCTTGAACACTTTATGTACATTAAGAATAACACAAATACTGATAGGGAATGTAAGAATGTAAACAGCAAGTGAACTCTTTGTGACCTGCTGATATGCGAAAAAGGCCTGTATAAAGTAATGGTCATGTTTACGGTGTCTTGTGATAATATAGAAATGATAAGGACCACCCCTATTGAATTTTAGTTTAGTCTATCTCTTTATACCTTCAGGGTACTTGTAGAGATGAGTGACGTCCTCTCTGGCGTCACTGCCCACTCTCTTTGTGCTGATTTTCTTCCCCACATATGTGTATGTGGTGACTTTTGATGTGCTGCCGTCTTTTTTCTTCATGATGTTGACGACATCAGCATTGACCTCAGCAAAGATAAATGGGGCGTCGTACTTGGAAGTGAGCTCACCCTCCTTAATGGCTCTGACAGGGGTTGGACCGCAGCAGAACACTCCTGAGTTAAAAAGATCAACTTTGGTGAGGATTTGTCTTGATCAAAAGTAGGCTCAATGATTAATTGATTGAAGTGTGTTCAGTACCTTCACTTTTCTCCTGAGGTGTAGGGTCACTGGCCTGCCAGCCGTGAAAATCTGATTTAAATTCAGGCCGGCTCATCCAGTTCTCTACCCAGCAATGATAATTCCTACAGATACAAACACACCATCAGCCTCCTACACTTTTTGTTATCAGTATTTACTGCAAACTAGACGGTCAAGTTGTAGTTAATAATCAAATCTGCCTAACTACAGGCATGGAAAGCTTCTAATAATACTAACATATCTATCATTGAAAAGTAAGTTAATATTAGAGATGCAACAATTATTGACCAATAAACCAGTGGATCAACAAAACAAATTTTCATGCAGAATATGCTATTTTATGATATTTTGCTTTATCTGTTATATATCCTATTTAAGTAAGTTTATCTTCTGGTTAACATTGACAAAACAAGACATTCAAAGACTTCAACATGGTCTTTGAGAAACTGGGATGGATGTTTTACAACATTTCCTGACATTCTACACATTAAATGATAATGTAAATAATCTTTAGTTACATCCCTACACATTAGACCTTTTTCTTAATTTATTAAATATGTTCTTACCATATCATTTCTCCAGACTTAAGGAGGCCACCGTTTTCATTGATGTAGCGTTCGATCACCAAGTCGCCGTTGTTGTCGTGAGCTGACACGTAGTTGGTGATGACTCGGCAGGGGATGCCAAGCGCTCTGGAAACTAACAGGGTATAAAAGCAACTTACATGAGTATTGCAATGCTAACAAGAACAGACAAATGTTTATATTTACTGTGTGTTTACACATTTCTTGTGTCTGTTTGAGACAAATCGAATGTGTTTTTCAGTGATAGGCCACAAAGCTCCACTGTGTCCTATCTTACTTGTGCACGCCACAGCTGCAAACACCCAGCACTGTCCGTAGCGAACAGGCTGACAGGCCTGTTTGTCCCAGTTGCGCAGAATCTCCACACTGCCCTTCCAGAACAGGGGGCTGACACCTCCTTCATAGCCATCCGTCCATTTTCCCAGCAACACCCCTTTGTCGTCATTACAATTCACCTAACAGGCAAAGGAATAATACATTTAAATTCTGAAATCCAAGAGTTTTAAATGTTTAGTTTAAAATGACATCATCTGTGCAGATGAACAAAGGATAAGTGAAAGGAAATGAGTACCATGGCACTGAGCACCCTGG